TCCAGCTTCGTGGCCAAAGCCGGCTGAAAGCAGGTATCTGGGATTTACTTTGCTTCTATAATTGAAACTTTGTTTCTTTGAGTGGAGCTCAGAGCTGGACTGCGACAGCTGGGAAGCTTGACTTCCTCCATCATTGGGGCAACCAACCCTCCCGCTTGCTCCAGCTCCATGGCTGCCAGCCGCCATCTTGGTTGGGTTAATTTGCATATAGTCAATCTGATTGGCTGGTGGGTGTGGCTTAGGGCGTAGCGAAGGTACGGTCAATTAGCATCCTTGTCTTTTCTTAGTGTAGTTATATACATAAACTAGTGGCCCGGTGCATGAAATTCGTGCACGGGGGTGGGGTGGGGGAGGTCCCTCAGGCCGGCCTCCACCCTCTCGCAATCCCAATCCGGGACCACTGGCTCCTAACCACTTGCCTCCCTGTCTGCCTGCCTGATCGCCCCCAACTGCCTCTGCCTCTGCCCCCGCCGCTGTGGCTTTGTCAGGAAGGACGTCTGGAAGGTCATTCAGCTCTCCGGTCTAATTAGCTTTTATTATTATAGATTAAGGTAGACTGACCAACTACCACTGAAAGATATTAACTCTATTATTTCTGTATTCTTTCTAAAGTGCTTCCTATAGTAGTATAATTACAGCAGAGACTCAATGAACACCTAACAAAACCTTGCTGAATGATTGTGTGATTCATGTTGCTTTAAACAGTCACTTCCATTAGATTAAATAATGGTGAAAAACATAAAAATACAGTTTAATGTCAATGGACAGTATTTTAAAGGCACTTTTAAAGATAAGGTAAAGTTCATGTGAGGCTTTTTAAAAAAATCCTTACATGGATCTTCAAGATAATTAAGTTCCAGTGAAATTTATTTAATTCTTATAATACAATGAGGACTCTTATCACTCTTTTGATGAGAAAACCAAGGACCACAGAGCTCAAACTGAGGTTAAAATAATTTCAGTTTAAGCTATTATGTTTCTCCATTTTAGAAATGATTAACAATACTAAGAGAGAAAATATGGGAGAAAAGGCGCG